ATACCATGCCGCAGTTTTAACATGAATACCCCACTCAGACACAGAATACTGACTCCGAACCGACCAGTCCTTGTTTTAGCCCCTTAATGCCGAGCGCCAGATAGGGTAACAACAAGTACCATCTTTTAACATCTTTTGGTATGACGCGGCCGGGGATCGAACCCCGGACCTTCCGCTATCCGGGCGGACGCTCTACCACAAGACCACGGAGGCGGTCGGTCAGAGGATGACAACGATGATGATGATGATGATGATGATGATGATGATGATGATGATGTTGATGTTGATGATGACGATGACGATGACGATGATGATGATGATGATGTTGATGTTGATGATGATGTTGATGTTGATGATGATGATGATGGTGTTGATGTTGATGTTGATGTTGATGATGACGATGACGATGACGTTGATGTTGATGTTGATGTTGACGATGACGATGATGTTGATGATGATGATGATGTTGATGATGATGTGTCTTACATCCACAGAACAATCTAACAACAGGGCAGCCCGCAAGCGCCAGTTTCCGTGCAAGGGTGAAGGAGGAGAAGAAGAAAGTGGATACAAAGTGAGACAAGTTTTAGTATCGCTTTGTATATAGGTACATACCGTAAATGTATTAGGGTTGTTCAACAGACTACTGTTTGTTTACAACAAGTGTCATAATTAGTTGCCTATCTCTATCACAGGTTAGTCAGGTTATAGGGTCAGTACATTCTTCTTTTAAGGGTAGTCAGGTTATTTCATTTTAGTTTTCTTGTTTTCGTGTCTCGATCAAAAGGCTGAAGCCCAGGTCTTTGCAATGACTGGTGATTTTGAATGTCTGTGTCACCGGCCATCTTAACACCTGTCGCCATTTGTCATCACTGTACTGCACCACAGTACAAGTTCACAGGGTAGTTAATTCTATTACTTACGGAACTAAGTCTAGTGTCTAAAAGCATATCAAACTCACAAATTACATTAAATAACTGTTAGTAATCTGATATTTGTGATATTGTAAATGGTTATGGATTAGTGAGCATGAATATAATAAATAGGTTTAATAATGAATGTTTTAGATTTGACTGTGCTGGTTGTGTACTATTTCAATCTAAATGCATAATGTAACCTTTATCTGTATGAATATTATCCGATTTGTAATAATCAGGGATATTGTAAATATTGGCATAATGCTGTTTAGGAAGGTATATGTTGTCTGTTGTGTATTCATGATCAACAATGTTCGATAGTATATGAATCTTATTTGTCATGTTGTTGTTAGTTTGTTGTTTAACGCCGCACTAAGCAATATTCCAGCCATATGGCGGCGGTCTGTAAATAATCGAGTCTGGACCAGACAATCCAGTGATTGATATCATGAGCATCGATCCACGCAGTTGGGATCGATGACATGCATCAACCAAGTCAGCGAGCCTGACCACCCGATCCCGTTAGTCACCTTTTACGACAAGCATAGTCACCTTTTACGGCAAGCATGGGTTACTGAAGACCTGTTCTACCCCGGAATGTAGGCCACTGCGTGCAATACTGTAACGTCTAATTCATCTTCATATGCCAAGATGTAAATATCATACTGTGGGGGTGCGGTCGGGTAGCCTAGTGGTCAAAGCGTTCGCTCGTCACGCCGAAGACCCAGGTTCGATTCCCGATATTGATGAAGGATGTGTGTTTAGGTGTTCTTATTACATATTGTGTCATGCCATGGCGACACTATCGACAGGGTCAAGCAGTTTCAAAACAAATACCATCGTTTACGTATTTTGATATCACGTGGCCAGTGGATCGAAACCGCGACCTTCCGCTCTCCGGGCAGACGCCCCTTTCACTCTAGACCACAGAGACGGCGCTGGTTATGTTAAACAGTGTGCGAGCTTAGCCTCAATTTTGTAATTGATATCTTTTCCCGTGAAAACCAAGCCTCGTTCTCAAATGCGACCTACAAACAGTAAATACAATTTGCTAGCAGATGACATATTCACTCTCTAGTTTCTGTCAGCTGGATAAACAGGTTTCTACTAAAACAACTGTGTTTTTGTACTTTTATTAGTTTTCCATGTTACGAAATATATTCACTGAATATTCATGCTTTTCACCTGGGTGATAAGGTTTATTCATTTCATGATGAGGACCATCTTTGATAAAATGTTCCCAACTGTATGCATACCTGACAGGGACTACATGGGCTACCATAATGATGCGATGTCTTACATTTTTTCTCAGGAGGAATGCCATCATTCCAGCTTTTGTTTCTATTTCCTTTCTGACTTTTTGGCACAAAATGCACACACATTCACAAGATGCAAAATTATGCTAGCGTTTACAAGTTCTACATAATATTAATGCATACACAAGCATTACTTGTAAAAATGTACTCTTGATATTTTCCACTTGAAAATTCATCAGTTTTAGAGGCGTCAGAATTCCAATATGTTCATACCTTTCTTGACAAATCTTCAGTGGTGTCAGTTGGAAGTCGCATCATGATAAATAGTTAGTAAGAAACTGGTATTCCAAGTGAGTGCCAAGAAAATAACAGTTGAAACACACAATTTGGCCATGATTGGGCATAAAAATGCAATAGCCAAGGTATTATCCAAAAGTAATCGTCCACCACAACAGAAACAGTAGAATACTGCTACAGCAGACGATGGGTTTGAGCCAATCATTTTACTGATAGAGGTCACGTGACTAACATCCTGACTACTTCCGGTGCTGTGAAGGGTTACTTTTCCTAATTAAAACTAACAAACCAATACATATTTGAGATTTAAGTTCTGATTTATTTAAGCGCAAATGTCTGTTCAGTGTGATAACACTCACAAACTATGTCCAGACAGCTTAAGACAGAAAGAACCAAATGTCAAACACCACAACCTGTAAACCATCAGTTTAGACCCCTGACACACAAATTAGACCCTCAATGACATATCAGTCAACACAAATTTAAACAATCGGTGTAAAACTGCCTAAAGTAACATATCTGTCATTAGAATGTGATGCTATCAGTTAGGTGCCAGATTTATTTATGTTTCTGGCCGCTCTGTGTGGGACTCCTTGGACGCTTCGAGGGGGAAACTGGGGACTGTCTTTTATCCAATTAAAAACATGTTTACAGTTCTAGCTCCTCCTATTTTAAGTTGGATATAGGAAGCTTAGTGATCAGTGATTGCAGGAAACACAGGAATTGGCCCCTCCTCCGATGGAACCCATATTTTTGTGAATGACTTCTTACCCGTGAGAGAATATTTTGAGGTCACGTGACTTCAATAAACATGTTCTCACAACTTCTACAGTGCATGGATGGGTTATATTTTGGTAGTATTTTGATAAATTGACATATGTGGAAATGGTAAATATATGAAAACACTACATGTTCATATAGGATTTGTAATAAAAGTTTTATATGAGGTAGGTGTAGAGCCCGATGATCCAGGTAGAGAATAGGTTTTTAGCAACCAATGATTGCGATAAGTGCCGACTATGCTTGTCGTAAGAGGCGACCAACGGGATCGGGTGGTCAGGCTCGCTGACTTTGTTGATGCATGTCATCGTATCCCAATTGCGTGGATCGATGCTCATGATGACAATCACTGGAGTGTCTGGTCCAGACTCGATTATATACAGACCGCCGTCATACAGCTGGAATATTGCTGAGTACGGCGTTTGACAACAAACAAACATGATATCAGTTACTGTTTAATATCATGAAATTAATCCATAATATCTTTTACCTAGGTGTATCAAAATAATTATTGGTGTCATAAATATAACTTATGATATCATGGATTGGATTACCATAAAATTCATCGACTGATGTCAATACGTGTAATTCATTTCATGATAACATTAATTCAGTCAGGATATTTATTCATATACATACCATAAATGGTTGTTATACATTACTGATAAACAATATTTACAAATGTTATAAATAGATTTTATTTCATTATTTAATAAATACCTATCTCATGAAAAGATTCAATGAAGCTACTTTGTACATAGAGAAATGAATTTCACTGAAGCATGCATTTAGCATGCATGCCTCATATACAAACCATTCGACGTTATAAGCGCCCCGCTCTAATAGCGATATTTGATAATATATTGGCTAGTGAACAATCCCAATTAGCACCCCTTCCCATTGACCAGTGTACACAAGACTTATTTATTCGTGCATAGTCGCAATCGCAATGCACAATTAAGTATGGGCATTTAAATTCTGGAAAATATATCTGTCGTGTATAATACGTACAGACTTCTCTTTTGTATCATAATAGGCTGTCAGCCACATAAACCACGATATTAACGATCTTTCGACTGTTTTTTCTTACCCAAACTATATTCTAATAAGAGCTCCCTTTTTTCTAATTTTGAGAGCGCCCTGTGCACTTATTATGTCGATTACGGTATTATTGTTTCCGCGAAGATGCATAAATATATGGCACTACACCATGCCATATGTTTTTCAAATGAACATGTGCTCCATAGGAATCAATTTCACATATATATTTCACATTTCATAAGAGTTTTCTAAAATGTGGCTTAATTTATTGTTATTCATACAATTAAGGAAAACACTACGTTTCCAAGATCAGGAATGAAATATTTAACTACGTCTTCAGCATTAATAATCAATATCATAATTAACTCAAAATATTTTGTATTGCGAATGCTATTCCACAGTAAATTTGCCTTTACACACCATCCTTCTGTATTAAAGTAAGACGTGTCAGTGTGTTAATATGCCATGTCCACAACAGTGTGATTTCTTCATCTTACTAAATTGTTAGAATGGATGTTTATCAACAATGAAAAACAAACACACACGCGCAAGTGAAGGCAGTGTGGAATGTCGATCAGTTGAGCGTGTCGCCTTGCATTCGTAAAGCTCACATGCAATACTGCTGTAATTAGAGAGTGTTCGGAGTTTCCAAAACTCAGAGCACCGCTGTTATCCATCATGTATCATCTCAGCGAATGCTACTACTGAAAATGGAGTTTAAATCAAGGGAAGTAACTGTTATGCATCGTCGTTTTGAGATCTTTGTTGATGTGTGGATTTCTGACTCTTTTCTTCGATGGCTGATAAAATGAGCGGGGTATGATAAACTCTTTCAGTTTGCACCTCTCATCTCTAATAAATAGCTATTTTTGTGTTCATGCCGTGGTATTTATTATCGTTAATTCGATAAATGTAGCCTACACATCGAAGAAACATGCACGCTTCTTGGAATTTGAAATCCGACTCTAAGTCTCAAATAAAAACCTATATCTTTATCACATGTCCAACCGAGAGGTTAAGACCACTTGTAATGGCACGACACATCTCTGTTCAACAGAGAACCTAGGCGTAATGGCATAACGAACGGCTTTGATGTAAAACTAGGGGGGGGGGGGGGGGGGGGGACCAAATTGATAATCTATATTTGGATATGTTGTGAGAGTTCCCTCATCTTGAATGCCTGTTGCACGCTCTCGAACGCACATGTCGCTGTTTTATTCACAAGAAAACACAGAAACTGGAAGAGCCAGTTGTTTTCTCCATTTTGTATTAGTTGTGTTACATATTCGTTTCGTTTGGAAATTAGCTGCAGTTCTTATAGTTATAATGTATTACTGGCAATTAATACGTTCTGCTGATTTGATGATAAATGAAACTGATTTTTTAAAAATATTTAGCCTTGATAAATTTTAGCTCCAAGAGAATTGTGTAAAAATAATATTTGCATTAAAACTAAACTCAGATTCTGTCTTGTACAGTGTAGCAAATTTGAGATTTTCCACAAAAGTTGTTTGTTTTGTTATACTTTGTTTGACAGTTACCAGCACCCCCCTGATCAACGAACAAATTCAGTTAACTCCATTTCTTCGCTATCATGGTGTCCAGGTTATTGATACATGCCATGTGAAGATCTGACGAATAGGATCGAATGACTTGGTTGAGGCATGTCATTGTATCCCTATTGTGTAGACCGACATCATATAGCTGGAGTATTGTTAAGTGTCATGTTAAACAACAAACAAACAAAACAAATGATATATACCATGTATGCAGATTTGAACCCAACCCCATATTCATGACAGTGCCAAGTTTGCAATTCTTTTAGTAAGCAGCAAGACTGTTATTAATTCTAGTATTAATAGTAATACATCCTGATCTTAATCTTCAAAACATTACTTTCTGCTTCTAAGTTTTTTTCAAACCATGACATATAGTTAGCTTTAGGGAATAAATCCAAATGCAATTTTTTTTTATGCCATCCTGAGTTATCTTGTGTAGTACTGTATATCTAAATTCTATCATGATAAATTCCCTGGACCAATTCTTGGGCATGGATGTGATGTCACAAACTCCATTTCTCCTATCATTAACTCAACACATAATTTTGTACTAGGGCAATCTATAGATATATATCATAGAGATTAATAATCACTAACTAAATATAGTTCAATTATCAATAAATATCAGGAAAAAGGAACTTTTCATCTCACCTGACTTACTATAGCCCTGAAAAGCAAGATTTTAGTTTTGTAAAGGTCTTAAAATGGACATATTTTGTGTACCATATTTTGTATGAACTGTGTAATGTACAGTGAATGAAAATATGGTTCATCTCTCAATTAAATTGTGACAGGCAGGTGAACGGATGTTTCACAAGGGAGGTGATGGCAAGCCCAGAGGATTTGGATTTGGAGGATTTGCCCTAGGAAAGAAGGAAGATGGGGGACAGCCCAAGGCTCTCTCGGGGTTTGCCGGAGTGCCAGGAATGGCCGGGAACTCCAGCACCTACATGCCCGGCCGAACACTGGGCTACCACATGAACCTGGGCAAGAAGAGGGTGAAGAGTGAAGAAGAGTAAGTGATTTGACATTATCATTATTGGAAATACTCCGAAACATTGTGTTGAGATTCTTTAGAGCTATTATTTTGGGTATTCCTCAACTGAATCACAGGTAGGTCAGAGGAGCAAGAGGCATGGTCAACCAAGTACTCTCACCTGCCTCTCCTATCAGCTTGTGTTGTGTCCTCCCCAGGGAGTTGAAAAATCAGTTTTAAAGCACAGCAATATTTTTAACTATTTTTAGAAAATTTCTTTTAAAAATTATTTTCATGTTTTTAATCAAGGTGCTCATGTGATTTGATGCATTTCGCGATGTAAGACCCGTTTTATCACAATATAGATCTTGATTATCGATCAGATCGTTCTGACTGGGCGCCACCATTTTGTGTGAAGCAATCGCAAGTGATACAAGAGGTGGAATCTGATTGGTCCATAGGAGAGGCTTAGAGGGGACATAACTGGTAATAGCCACTGGTGGTGCTACGGTCGAGTCCAGTAATTCCAGCCTTGTTCGGCAAGGGTGGAAACTGGACTTTTAAAGTCAGTTAACGCTCTTGCCTCGGGAAGATGGTTAGCCAGAATCAAGGCATTCAATCATCTATTCTATTCAGTATCATAATTTGATGATTGGTGTTACAAACACCATGATGTGGGAATCAAATGTTCTGAAAAAGTGTAGGGCAGGAGTGGCCCAGTCGTCTAAGGTGCCGCAATTTGCTGTGCTGAGTTGCGTCCCTTGGACATGCCAGAAACCTATGATTGTGGGTTCGAATCCCGGTTAGCCCCGATTATGTTTCTAGGTTTGTCAGCACCATACCTGTGCTCGTGGGTTTCACCAAAGTGGTAAACGTCTAAGACCTGCATCACTTCAGGCTTTCCTCCCACATCAAGCTGACACGCGGTGATATAACTGGAATACTGTTAAAAGCAGCGTTAAACCCAACTCGCTCACTCACTCCCGAGAAAATCCTGGATCAAAGCCGAGTTTCTACCCTTGCCACATCAAGGCCACTTATCTTGGCTCGACCCTGGCGCCATCTCGCAAAGATCATGAAAACATGTAATCATGGTAATGAAAACGTGATATCCAATCAGATCACTGTTCTTATCTCGTATAGCTTCACAAAGATAGTGGACCCGTGAAGATCCGGCGTAGAATAGGTCTTCAGCTACCCATGCTTGCCGTAAAAGGCGACTAACAGGATGGGGTGGTCAGACTCGCTGACTTGATTGATGAATGTCATCGTATCCCAATCAAGTGGATCAATTCTCATGATGTCAATCACTGGATTATTTACAGACCGCTGTCATATAGCTGGAATATTGCTGCGGCGTTAAACAACAGAAAAACAAACAAAACAAAGATGATGACTACCAATAGGCAATCAGACATCAAAAACATTCACAATTTCATCCCTGACGCAAAAACATAGGCAATCGTTGGGGGGTTCAAAGATGAAAAAGACATATTCGTGTCAACAAAGACAGGCAGCGGTAAATCACTTTCATCCGAAGGTGTACCAGTCTAGATGTTGAGTTTGTGAAGCATTGTCTCATTGGACTATCGATATGTGCAGTCATATTTAGCACAGGAAAGTGGGCTTGATGTGGCAAGGGTGGAAACAAGACTTTGGTAATACGGCGAGTGGATGCTCTTGCCTCGGAAGACGGTACATTGTGTAACCATGACAGCAGTGAGCTGATACTTATATATACATTGTTAAACATCATTCTTACACAGTAACACAGTTGTCATGCTATATACACCTTGTAATTAAATGTATAGAGATATTTCAATACATCAGAGAAAGGGATTCAGGATGATAGAGTGTAAACAATATTAGCCAGTGTCTTGGCAGTAAAGTTGCAGCTGTAGTCTCATGCCTCAATTAGCCTGACCCCCATGCTTGTCATAAGAGCTGTCATAAGAGCTGTCATAAGAGCTGTCATAAGAGCTGACATAAGAGCTGTCATAAGAGCTGACATAAGAGCTGTCATAAGAGCTGTCATAAGAGCTGACATAAGAGCTGACATAAGAGCTGTCATAAGAGCTGTCATAAGAGCTGACATAAGAGCTGTCATAAGAGCTGTCATAAGAGCTGACATAAGAGCTGACATAAGAGCTGACATAAGAGCTGTCATAAGAGCTGACATAAGAGCTGACATAAGAGCTGTCATAAGAGCTGTCATAAGAGCTGACATAAGAGCTGTCATAAGAGCTGACATAAGAGCTGACATAAGAGCTGTCATAAGAGCTGTCATAAGAGCTGTCCTGATGTGACCTACAATGGGAAGTCCTCTGATCTTTGTTTGGAGGAAGTGAGCACTAAGATATGATTCTAATGAGACTGTCTTCTGTGTGACTTGAACTTTGTTATTTAGTTACCAGTATTAGTCTGGGACACTAGCCGCTAGTCTGAAGCCCATGTCAAGTAAAATTTTGTTTGGTTTAGTATCAGTTAAATCAGCTGATACGAGTCCAAATTATGTGACTAGATTTACTTAATAATGCAGAGGTATATGTTGAGGCTAGTAGACATGAAAGGTCTGGCAGTGACTGCTGTAGTGTGATATAATGGTGTCATGGTGCCTTTGTGGGTTGAGTCCCATCCAGGATTCAAACCCACACTGTCTGAGTGACGCACCTTATCGCCTGACACAAAGTCAGCGAACTAACCCACTCAGCCACCAAGACTTCCAGAAAAAGGAAAGTCCAACAACTGGTAGTCTAGGTCATACACTGTGTGTATCCCTCCCGGACAGGACTTAACCCCCCAAAGTACTAGGATCTGTACTTTTCTAAGAAAGTCTTATCCTAAACATGCTAAATATAACATTTGTTACATTTGACCACTTTCTAAATGAAATTAGTGTTCATAACTTTTGAGCCATGGGATCTGTGCAAGTTTACACTTGTCAGAGTGGTACACAAAGTGATCTAGATTTGTGTGGCATTGTGTGTTCATAATGGCGTCATGTTTCAGGTACTTTGACGATGATGAGGAGGAGTCTGGCTTGGACTACCTGCCAGCCCCTGGGAGCCCCGGCACCAACCGCAATGACAGCGACAGTGATGACCCCCTGGATGCCTTCATGGCCGGCCTTGAGGTAGTTGTTGAACTATGATTGTTGGTTCGAATCCCAGTTCGCCTTGATTGAGTTTCTAGGTTTGTTAGCACCATACCTGTGCAATCGGCTTTCACCAAAGTGGTATA